GGCAGATCACAAAATCAACATAGGAAATTGTATGATGTATAAATACAAGATATGAATTTTATTATTTATTACCGAAATTCGTATTCCACATGAATATTTTCACTTAGTATAATTATTATTATGTTATATACGCAGATAACAACTAACATAGTCTAAATTAGTGCGTAATTTTAATGGTTGAAATTACTTAAGTTTTACATGAACTATCTTTGTTTATAAATAAGATTATGCTATTTACAATGTAAACAATGCGATTATTTTATGTCATATTAATATTAATTAATATTACTAAAAAAATAAATAATAATTGGAAATTCGTTAAAAATTACAAAAGCTAACATTTTATTTTTAAGTAATGATATGGTAGTGATTCGTTAGTTATTAATTTATTATTGTCGGAAATTTGTATTTCGAAATGGTTAAGTGTATTTTGTGGGCACGTTTGAAAATAATGCAAGGAACTATTATACATTATTTACATTTATGTACAGTAATAATTACACTGGTATTTGGTGTAATATATTTAAGAAATTAATGTTTGTTTTGAAAATGATGGACTTGCTAGTCGGAAAAAATCTAATCTATGATTAGGTACCTAAATGATTCTTAAGGTCTTAATCGATAATGAGGTCAAACAAAGTTAGTACAAAAATATGTACCCTAGAATCAACACAAACAGACTTGCGTATTAATATAATAAAGTAATTAACTAATCTTAAAAATAAGTAGGTGAAAAATGTTATATAAATGTATATACATATTTTATTACTTACAACAATTAAAATGCAATGAAAATTTAAGTGAGCAACGTTCATTACAACATTATCATATTAATATTTTAAAAACATACATTTTACTTATCTAAGTAAAGAATTTCATTCAATGTTTTATAATTTTTCATGATAATAGACGTATCTAATAATTCTAAAAATACTAAGTTACCAGCTCTTATCAAAGATTATATAGCCGCCGTAGACACATCAAATAGGTATTCAAATGATAATGAAAATCATGTATAGACACTTACGGTTATAATTTTCTGTAAGATAACATTGAATATATTGTAAAATATAAACGTCAGTTATCATAATGACATACTACCTATGTTATAATTAATGTTTATCAATATATCTATATTATATTTAAATATTTGTGTAAAATATAATCCACAGTAATAATCGTATTATTAATTTAAATGAAATATATTGTTATTCATATATATTAAATTCAAAATGTATTTTTAAACATTTTATGACACATTAAACATATTTCGTATATCAATTTATCGTAGTTTTCAAAATGATTGAAAGGTAATAGTAAATTAAAAATTTAACGTTGTCAATCTGCTTTTAAAATATTATTTAAATACGGTACCTATTTGCTGTATTCTTAGTCCTGTACAGTCTGTTCATGTTTTAAAGCCTAAAGGTATGTATGAGAAAATTCTATAACTTTATTTAAATTCCCCTCAATTTTTCCTCCATCCACAACTTCTATTTTGAATACGTCATTAATTTAATTATAAATTTTGTTCTAGAGACTGGTTTTATTATATAATTCTTAGATAACAGCTACTTTTAAAACGTTTTTAATGTTTCTTTTCTTGTTTAATATTTTCTTGTTAAATTAGTTATGTTGTAATTATAATTGTTGAGCTGTAATAGTATTACTTACTAAAAATTAATAAAAAAAAAACTTTATTTAAAAATAAGCTATTATACTTGGTATATCTGAATTATAAGATTTTTTTTAATTGAGTTTCACAAAACAAATTAAAATAAAACTTAAGAAACAGAATAATAAACAATAATATTCATAGATAGGTAACAAGTCTTATCAATAATACTTAACTAGGATACATTATACTCTAATAGTCTGATAAAAAATCATCTTTATAGGTAATAATTTCAAATACTAAACGATTGCCAAAATTTTTTTTTACTTAAACATGAAATCATATCTCAATTTGCTCGTATTAGTTCTATTTTTAAGCCTTAAATTATAGTTTTATTGCTATATCATAACTATAATCTATACTTTATTCGATGTACCATGATGTTACTAAAGTTGTCTCGATACTTGATTTATATTCGTACAACAGAACGAAACTATCATTAATATTATGATTTTAAATGAATGGTTGACTAATAATTAAAATAATAAATTTTAAGTAACTATTATTTGGTTTTGTTATAATAACCATAATAATGTGCAACTATAATTATAAATTATATCTAGATAAATTATGATTATTATGGATATAAATACAAGATATTTAAAAACATAATTGGACTTTTGGAGAGGAAGTGTAACAGCAGTTATTAATATTACACCACACACATCTGTATTCTTTGTATAGCACGACATATTGACATATGTATACCACATGAAGCAATACTAAATTCATTACCTAACTAATGAATATACCTATACCTATATGGCTAATAGCTATATAAGTACATACAACTTTGCTCTCATATTTTAGTATAAATATCATATTTTTGTAATGATAGATAAAAAAAAACCACTAAATACATATATATCTTTAATATTAACTCTATAGTCATATATATAATATATTATTTTTAAAAACTAACATCAAACAGTAGGAAGTTACAGGTATATTTAAAGATATATTTAGGTTCATTTTATTAGTTTCTCATAATATCGATTAAGTATTTTTTATGGTATACCTATATTTTATAAACGATTAATTTATAGATACTTAAAATTTCTGTTTATACGGATATAGTATAGCTTACAAAATATTTTGGATTTTATTGAGCAATTTATATAGATATTTTAAATATTTGTGATTTTTTTTTATTTTATTTTTATTTTAGGTATATAGATTATATTTTTGATTTCATAACTAAAAAACATTAAAATGTAATTAATGATTTTTATATAACTATAAATTTCATTTTTTATAAGAGACTGAAGTTTAAATTTTTACCAATCTCGTTGAAATCACGAACATTTGCAAAATATTTTGTAGTTAAGAATGTATGGTTTTTAATTTTCATAGTTTTTAAAATGTTGTAAAAGGATACTCTTTAATGTTTTTTTTTTTATAAATAAAAATTAATGATAATACACATTTATAATTTATTATTTCTTTCACTTTTTAGAAATAGATGCTATTCTACTTATTGCTTTCATTAAGAATCCTTTTTTATAATTATCTAACATTGAATTCAAAATTAATACATACATTGAAATAAATTGTTTGTTGACTCTCAGAACCTACTATATATCAGATGTGAATTCTCTGGTTTTTTTATTCAATTCGTATTTATAGGATTGACATTAAAAATCAGTAGATATTAATTAAATTAGGTAACTGGAAATGGCCAACGTCATTTAGTATTCAGTTGAATTCTTTTTTTTTTACTTTGTTTTTATGATTATTCAATACATTTTATGATTACAATATGTGAACTTGGATACATATATTTAATTTTTTTTAAATTATGAAGATTTTTTTTTTAATATTTAACCTTATATACCACTAATATATATATACATCTACTTTTAACATTTAAGTATTATGTCCATGAATTTGGATGATTTATTTCAAAATTTATTAACAATTCATATAAATATACGTTTTTGTGTACTACGCAGTATTTTATTTGAATAAAATGTAGCTGGAATTTATATCAAAAATGAGTAGTACTATATTTTGTATAATGTTATTCAGAAATCCAAAAAAACCGGTCGTTTGCTACACCATAAAATAATATACATAAACAACGTATTTTAAAATGTTAAAATAAATACGTCGTATTTCACTATATAAAATGCGATGGGATTAAATCTGGAATAAACAATTAGGTATAAGTTGTGAATCGTGATATTTTCAACTAGAAATCAATTTATTTGTATTTAGAATAATTGTAATTGTGGTTTGAGATTAGAATTGTTTAATTCTTATGTAATTTTTATTATGAGTCAAAACTTATTTAAGTATGCACCAAGTAAAAAGTTTAGTGAAATCTGTTTGAGTCATCATTCATTTAAATCATTTTTAGTGAAATAGTTTGAATGAATTTTGTATTGTTTAGGGCGTTTAGGCTATTCCTAAAAAAAAAGTCTAACAGGAGACGGAAATCGCAAAATAAAATTACTTAAACAAGGAAGGATTTAGTAAATTTATTCTATAATTTATATGGATTATAAAATATACAGAAGTTCCGAGGTTTGATATTAGTATAAGCTAAATCAGACCAATCAATAAAATTTTGTACTTAAATTTTGAATGAAAAATAACAAACGAAAGAAATTAAATTTTTTTTTCTCATAGCAACTAAAAAATATTGAAAATACAAAGTAGGTAATATATTATGGAAATGCATCAAAATTGTGTATTACTTTGTAGGCATGTTCTATGTAGGCTAACAGGTCGTAGCCGCTTAAAATTATTTTTCATCATATTCAATGATTTATTATTGAATTCAAATTTAACAAATTTATTACATCAAGTACAGTAACCTACACAATGACGTAACTAAATGACCTGTAATATACAATGCGGAGTAACTATCCCGATTTTTATTATTTTCATATCTTTCTTGATGTTTTGGAGAAGAATTATATTTATATATTCAACTTTGAAGAAGTTTATGGTAGACCATTTTTTCTAGTTGAATTTAGGTACTCTTACTAAGTACATAACTAAGTAATATATTATTGTTTGTAAATATTAATTCACCATTAGAAAGAACAATCATTAGTTAGATATAATCGGCTCATTTAATTATAATCAAAAATTTTGTAAAAAAAATTTAAATGTGGGCTGTTATGGTTTTTTTTTTAAAAAAAAAGATTAAATTAAATAATATTGCAAGTTGTAATAAAATGTCAAATACCATACACGAAATATATATATATATATGTTATATATATAAAAAAAAAAAATAATAATAATAATTATACGCATAAAAAAAATATATAACAGTTTTAGATACATCTAGAGTACCTATAAATTATTATTATTTTATAAATATTTATTTTTTTCATTCAGTTAAAAAATATTTTTTCGTTCAAGTGTTTTAACTTATTTAAGTTTAGGTTTATACACTAAATCATAGCATAAATAAATAATATTTTTTGAATAGCTATCTATAGGTTTAGGCCAATCGATGTAGTGGCAGTGTAAGTAATGTGAAGTAGATAATACAATATGAAATTAATAATTTCAAACGAGTTGTTTTTGAATATTATCCTTTTCTGTGTGTAGTATATTTTCAGACACCAACGCCATTTCACCATCATTATTAAATACAAATAACGACGAATATCTTGGGGCGCTTTCTACCACGTCTTCGTACTTAGGCGGAGATTCCAATTCCTATACAAACAAAATATATTATTAGCTAATTTAATTAATTAATTAATATGTAATTTCAATACACACACACACCCAGTACAAAAACACACACCAGAAGGTGGTAGGTAGGTGTACCTACATTGAACAAAACGCTGTTGCTTTGACTTGTTATAAATTATAATGAAGTAGACTGAAACATTATTGTCTTATCTTTATTGTATATTTGTCGATATTTTTATGTGAATTGTTCAAAGTATGAATATTTGTCAAAAGAAATTGTTAACTGTATTGTCATTATTTCAGAATATGTATACATATATATATATATATATATATATATATATATGTATAATATATAGGGTCTTTATTGTTTGTACAATGACATCATCAACAACAGTTGGTAACAACTGACTATAGACTTATAGCTATAGTTAAAAAAAATTATACATGAATGCTAATTGTTATTTTTTAATGTATGAATACTAAGCTTTACAACAATTAATTTTTAATCCAGAGTTATGTTTTGTGATTGAGTTTAGTGATAAACTAAGAAAACTGTTGACCCAGAAATAAAAAAAATTTACTAATGAAAACGTTATAATTTTAAATGTTTTATAATTACTGATTCCGTAGATGTGCAGGTAATTATTATTTTCATAACTTATAAACAATATAATATAATAGTATAGATTGTGTATTAAACTTATGTATTGTGACTTTGTGTATACAACATGTAAAAAAAGTATAACAGACATATTACATATATGTCATATAGATAGGTTGATGTATTATTGTTGTGTTATTTTAGTAGTATTAGATTAAATTAAAAAAAAAAAAATATAAGGTAGTTATAATATTATTATTTTTAGATTATGAAATATAAAAAAATCTTATAAATATTTATCCTTCCATAATATTCTAAACCTTCTCTGAAAATAAAAACTCAGTAAATATAGTAATTTAGTCAATAGATACTTTTTATAAAACATGAGAAAAATAAAATAATCTATAATGTTTAAGAAATTTATTTTGTCTGGATGTTTCAGCCATCTTAAATTATTATTATTTCCAAGACGTTTTTATTAGAGTAAATCATAAGAAATTATACAACATTTTTTTTTTTTTGAAATAAAATATATGGTAACATATTAATTTAATAATAAAACTAGTTGTATACATTAGGGTAAATAAATGCAAATGTATTTTATTTGTTTCGGGACATGATTAATTGATCAGAAATTGTAATTTTACTGTTAACGATATATGTACAATGCATTGACAAATGCGTTTCGATTACAATAATTATTACTGCTAGCAAATATTAAAAAATTCCATTTATTAAAATAAACCAACATCTACTGATCTACCTTTACAATAAAAATTAAATTTAATACTAATATCAGTTATACTTAATCAATGGTAATATAATATAAAGCGCAAGAAAGCGATTATAACTCTAACACTATGTGTTTAGTCTCTAATAATAATTTGACCTATTTGAGTATAGAGTTTGTTAAATATTGAAAATTATAGACAAAGAAATACAGAAAGATGTGCTTTTGAAATATCTGATTACGTTTAATTTAAATGGGAGGCTATGGTAGCTGCGAGTTCCTATAATAACAACATGGGAATTATATTATATTGATCGGGCTTCAAAACTTAAAACATTACTATAAACATATTTCAATACAATTATAAGTGGAATAATATGTACTCACGATGATAATGATAATGATAATATTATTATACTAGTACATTATATAAAAACTATTAATTTAGGTACAGTAGAACTCCGATTATCCGGACTAATTAATGTCAAGGGTGGTCCGGATAAGCAAATATCCGGATGATTGACGTATGATATATCAAAAGTTATAAAATTGTATGAATATATTGTATTTATTATTAATATATATTTAATTTATACAAAATAAGCCTTAATTATAATACGAGTATGTGACATATTTTAAAACCAAAAATAAGCTGACTTGGCACATTATTATTTCATTTTGAAAAATATCTCGTCCGGTTAATTGGACGTCCGGATGATTGGCGTTCGGATAATTGGAGTTCTACAGTAGTAATTTTTTAATGGTTTCAGTTGCGTAAGACTTGAGTAGAAATACAATTTAAAATCGTTTTTATTATAATACTTAATTTTTGTGCGACTTTGACTACAAAAACTATTGGTTATTTTTATGGGTGTTTTATAGAAGTCTAAAATAAAATTTTCTTAAACTATTGTTTGCACGTATGATAATGATATTATTTAACATATTTATCAATGACATTAAATTTACCAATTCACAAATAACATATTATGTTACTTATTGCGGATGACTTAAAATTATTTCGTATTATAAAGGCTCCAAAACATGTTGAGTCATTTCAAAATGACATAAACTTCCTTTATGAATGATACAATCAAAACAGTGAAAACAGTTTACTTTTAAATATTTTTAAGTATAAAGTATTAACTTTCTTGAAAAAAATCGCCATCTTATCTTTATTAATATTATTTAAATGACTCGCTAAACTTACTTGCATCTATAAGATCTAAGTATAACATCTGATGCATCTATATTACTTAGTGAGCATTACTTAAATATTTAGAACAAAGCTTAATCTATTTTAGGTTTTATAAATCAAAGCTGTAAAAGTTTTAATAATCCACAGGCATTTAAAGTACTTTATTGCTTATATGTACGTCAATTTGGAATACAACTCTTATATTGCTTGCAAGTCACCTGGTAGAGTAGGTCTGATACAAACAATAAAATTGATACAAAATTAGTTTTTGAAATGTTTATGCTTTAATTGTGACATTCAATGCCAACAAAAACCAACTTTTTATCAACCACTGTTATCTCTTTTAAATATAAAATACGGATATACAGAGGAATAGGTTAGATCTCTGTCTTATTTTTAAACTACTTAATGGACCAATTTATTATCCAGAATTGCTTACAAACTTTAGCTTTCTAGTTCCTAATCATAATACTTGTCAATTAAATACTTTTTATGCATAATTTCAGTTTACCAATTATGATCAAAGTTCTCCTATTAACAGAGTTATGTGATTAATTAACATATTTCATATTGATTTATTTTCAAATACAACTGTTCATATGTTTAATATTTATATTTATATAATTTAATAAAATAATATGTAAAAAACAACCTAGAACCCATGTTCTTATGAATTATAATTATATTGTATACAGTTGGATTCAACTTTTGTTAATTTTTATTCAAAAATGCATTAAGTATCTATTTAATAAGTAGGTATGTCTTAGTCATAAAGGAACTTAATTCAAAAATTGTATGTTATTGACTATATTTAAATTCATTTTTATTGAGCACATTGCCGGCTAAAAAAATAAATAAATTATTGGTTTTCAGTATTTTTAATTAAGAAAGTTATAAATATATTGATAAAAAGAAAATATGAATACGCACATATTTTTTAGCTAAAAAATAATTTTAATTTAAAAAGTTCAATTTTTGTAACTATTCGTTCACTCGTGTAAGATTCTTAAAATAAATATTTTATAAATATTATATGATTTGAATTTGAAAGGTTTCAAACCGTATTCAAGGAACTTTGAATGATGTGTATATTTATTTTTAATCTATGTAATTTCGAAATCTTTAGCTCTACCATGTACTGATACTTAGCTTGTTGAAATGAGAGGGTTGTGAATTACTGCATCATTTTTTTTTTTCTATTAAGTTTAAGTCATGTTAAATTGTATGACGATATCCATAACACATGTTATAGAAGCTATTTACAAGAAAATACATATAATATAATTGTCATCATAATAATAATAATAACAAATCGGAAAATTAACGCGGTCAATACCTCCTCCCCCTCAACCCCCAAAACACCTATTTAACAACGTTTTCGTTTTGACGCGTTATGCTCACCGTGTCCAGGATCCTTTTCTTGCGTTTCTCGATTATTTTCATCACCATGATCGTGGGGCTGATGATCAACATGATCACTGCGATCGCGATCATCACTATGCCTGCCACTACGGCAGGCGCACCGTTTTCGTTAAACGACTTTTCCGCCATCACCGACGTCCCATGCTGATGATGGTCGGAATCCGTAGCCACGGTCGATGACGCATTGCTGTCGTCAAATGCCGCGTCCGGACCGTCGTAAGATTTGTTGCCGTACGACGATGGCAACGGCGGTTGCTGCGAGGCCGCGTTCACCTGGTTCAAGCCCCTTCGCAATAGCATTGCGCTGACCGTACACCAAGCGATCACTTGCGACAGCATGACCAAGTACTTGGCCAACGCGTTGCCATTGAACGGCATCACGCTCGCTCTTTGGTTTCTCCGCAACCGTTGTAGTCCATCGTTTCTGAAATTTATTATTTTTCAGTAGTTTCGTCTTCAGTCCACCTTTTTTTTGTACATAAACATTTACCTCTATTCGTATTTATACATAATACATTTTTTTATTCATTCTTAAGCACACTAAAAATTGTCTATACTATGACGTATAGGTACACTGTTCACATACCTCTGAAGTTTTCATTTATTTATTGTTATAAAAGTTAAACGGCTTTTATATTATGTACTCGTACATGGCTAAAAAATGGGATATAGAATCTATTTATATTTTATTGATTTATAATAAACTTACCGTTCTTATAAAAAAGAAAAAATATCATATATATAAGTCAATACTATAACATATAATAGCATCCATTCAAATATTTTATTTTTAAACGTACCTATGTTGTGAGATATTAGTCATTACATTTTAATTTCTTATTTATTGCTATGTTATAGCTATAAGCCTATAACTTATAAATTTATAATTCAATTCAATACGTTTTTTCTGTTATAAAATTCTATTCCTGGCATTTTATGCAGGTTATTAGTTTATATAAGCTAAAATTCGAAATTTAAATGATATAATATATATTATATCATTTGAATTTCGAATTTTTTTGTAAACTTAAGTACTTTAATTGAATCATATACTATGTACAGTATATAAACTATTAGATTACAAATATTGTATATTTAAGTAGTTTAAGACGTATTTTTATAAACTTTAATGTAAGTGTATAATGTATATTAATTATTTTGCTGGGAGTTCATATCATTAAACTTAACAGTTAGCACGTCAAATTTGTACCTATTGATTATTAATTTTGACACGTGTCTAGTAAAGTATGTATATTTATCTAAAAATATAAAAAAAATAAATAAAAAAAAATTTATATTATTAGGTCTTAAGAAAATTAGGTATGGACTTTTAAAGCATTTATAAATAATTTTCAATTCTCGTTAACGAGTAGATTCTAATAAAACACAATAGGTAATATCGAAATAATTAAAATCGTATAATTAATTAAATTAAGTATTAATAGATTAATATTATTTTAATACTTTTCAAAGTTTGACAATATTTATTAATATTATATTTGCTATCTAATGAAATCAAACGATTATTATTTGGAGGTGAAAGTCTTGTTTTTGAATATTTCAATTATTATAATTTAAAGTAATATCTATTTTTTTTTTGAAGGATTTAAAAAATAACTAATAATCGTATATTACACAAGTATCTGACCAATTTTGGTATTAAATTATCAAAATATAATTTATATTAGTACTCGAAAAAAACTTCTATCGGAGGACATAAACTGCATCAATGTTTGAATAATTATTTTAATGCCTACTTTGATACTTTACAGTGTTATACAAAAAAAAAAAAATGTATTTTTATTAACCTCTTTTGAAATAGCAATCAAATATATTTCATCAGTGTATAGTAGTCAATAAATAGCCTTTTTTCAACAATGACTTTTTGAAACAAATTTGGTATACATAATTAATTTTTATTTGTAAGGTGGTATTCTATGGAGGTCCTTTTCCCATAAACACATCAAGAAATACAGTCCCTCTTCAAGTTTGTTTAGTAAAAAGCTATTTTTTAGCACTTTAACAATATAGTGATTACTAATCGAGCATGATGGTTGTCATTAGTTTTCAATTGAACGAACGTTCCTATTCATATTATAGCTTTACATGGTTTCCTGCCTTCTTGTTCGATGCTTTCTTATCAGTACAATACTAGTCTGTAAAACGACCGTGGAAGTCATGATTGACATTATAATATAATAATATTATTCTAGATTGTAATCGCCTCACCAGCGAATGGCTTTGAAATCCGAATCACGTGTGTGGTTTGTTAGCAAAATATACGATCATGTCCTTGACTTTTTTATACTGCGCGGACGCGCATTGCGCAGTCACGATTCCCGAGGAACAACAACAAAATAATAAACAATAGGTATCTACTAATACTAATAAAAATAAAAATAAATCGCAATGATATTATAATAAACCTCAAACTTTCATTGACATTACCATCATGACTTATTTTAGATGATGACCTCGTGGACTAACACCTTCACGTTACAACTTGTCCTAACAGAATACTTAAATATAAATTCATCTGGTGGTCGAATGGATCTCGTCATGTATCTTGTGAGTTTATATTTTATACCATACTGTAATTCAATATAATAAAGCCACAGTGACATATTATACCATGAGTTATGACACTAATATACTAACGCCGACATAATGCATTATTTACTATATTATCATTTATGATTTATCATATAACATACATGTTTGTATAAATGTTACAAAATATAACAACAAATGCTAACGTAAAATACAATAACTCAACATTTTACAATTAAATCATTTGATTTCTAGATTTTATTACTTGTTGGTATGTTGGTAATTTGTCAAAAAGTTATGAATATAACTTTTTAATCGAATTCATATTTTTATGTTATGAGCAAACTCCAAACATATTTATAGTTATTATACGTAATTTATTTTTAAATAATTAATTTCCAATGGTAATAGTGTAATACATATTATGTTTTTTGATTATTTAATTATAAATTGAATACAAATTCTCTTTGACAAATTATTGATATGACTTTAAAACGAATAGTGCTTTATATGGTTTTAAATCAATTATGATGGTGTAAATATATTATTAAATTATTTATATTTGTATAAAAATATAATTACGGAATTCAACGTTTCCAATCACATATTGCTGATACTGTAAAAAAATGTTAATGTTTTTAATAGTTATGACTTATATGATGGTATAATTAAATTTAATGGTAAACAACAAATATTTATTGACTTGTGTAATTTATTACAATTAATAAAATTAAGAATACCTATTAATATTTAATACATTTAATTTTAATATTTAAAGTGGAAATAATAATATAATTTTAATTAATTTTTTTTGTTTAAATACGTATCAAGTGACGAAAATATGAATTATGTGGATATATCTGTGTAACTCAACTATTGTATACCATAATAGTAACGAACAATTAATAAATCAAAAAGTTATCAATTTAACGTAAAGAAAGTATATTCATAGTTAGAATATTAAATTAATATACTTAAATAAATGGTTTTAGTAATTTTGAATTATTATTAAGCATATAATTTAGTCACATAAATTTGAAAAATCTCAAATAAGTTTTAATCAACAAATAATGGTTAATCAATCTTATTATTTTGAACTTGTTATACATTTTTTAGTAAAAAAATCTAATTTTAAGTATTGAAAGAGATTAATCAGTCTTATACGACAATACAAAAGTTTAAGTACAAAAATAATAAAATAAAATAATTTCTGATTAACTGTTTTACTACTCGTCACCATATTATTGACTTGATAGTTGATAGTATCGACAGTATCGTGAATCATTGTATTATAATAATGAAGCCGACGCTGTTGATTAATTGAAACAATATCTTTTTTTACAATTCTTTAATTAACGTAGAGTACATTAAAATTGATATTCGAATAAATAATAAATAAAAAGGCAAGATGTCCACAGAAAAAAAAATTGAAACATAATAATATAAGCATGATAACTGATAATCATAAATAGATACTTACTATTCAAACTATAGGTAGATGTAGAAAAACATTTGGTTGTGTGTTTATCATGTTATTTTAATAAATTATTAAGTATATTATTGAAATTTATAATTTAAAACGAATTCATTGATACTATACAATGTGCACAATTACGGTTCGGTTTTTGTCACTATAATTTTATTGTTATGAGCACTTTTAATGAAATTAACTGATCTCGGCATATAACATCCTGATGTCTGCTAGAAGAATATATAACATACACTGCGCACAGAAACGTCCATGAGTCACTAAAGCCGACAATTTAATATTTTAGCGTACAACCTTAGCTGTTTCTATGTAGTATATTGTGAGCCACTATAATAGTGTTTATTGTTTTTTTTTCCCCCGATGCTGACGAATTGCATATGCAGTGTAGCCTCTATTGATTTCTTAACCGCATTTAGATTTTCAGCGATTTTGCTCACATAATTTTCATGATGATAGGCATCAATCACATCTATTTTCACGTGAAAAGTATATTAAATCAATTACTAGATTTGTATAATATGAAAAATAATTTGTATGCATTGATAAAACAATTTGTATTTTTCAAGGAGGGGAGATGGAATTTTATTTAATGGCACCTAACAAAGATAAAAATATTATTAACTATATTATAATTATTGAGATGTAAAACTATGTTATATAAACTTAACTTAAGGGGATACCAATTCTCATACTCGTAATTCAATTTCCTCCTCCTACGCAAATACATAATTGTTTACTGCAGTTCAGAATAAAATATTTTTTTACAATATTTATCATTTATCACACAATACTTTCATAGATTCCATCAAATTTTTTTCATATCATTTTTATATATTTATATTATAATAATACAATGTGCCTAGGTAACTAGCAATTTTGTTTTAATTTATAATGTTGTAACTTTTAATGAGATGAAGTTATCTTGTTTAATATTTTGTATTATTATTATTTAATTATACTTTTATAAATACTAGATATTCGTCATATTTTAATCATGATACCAATATCATAATATCATATATTATATAGTGTATAAAATACAAAATTGTCTAACTGATTAATTACATTTTGTTTATGTAAAGATTATTTGGTATAGCTGTTGCAATTATAGAAATGATTTTAATATACAACCATATTTTTAAAACACATTTACCCAAAATCTATATATTGTACAAAAAAATGTAATTAGTTTCAGAATCCATTTTAGTATGATATTGAATTTTAAATATTTATTTTAAAAATATTTAAATTAATAGGGATAAATTAATATATCGAACAAGTAATATATTTATAACTTTTAAGTATTCTTATGTTGATGTTTTGGAGAAAAACTTTTTAAAACTGTGACAAGATAAGTTTCGTAAAAAATTTTTGTCTTGTAGAAGTAATTTTTTATTTAAACTGTGTACGTATTGTAATTATATTCATACAAGTTTATCACTTTAATTATATTTCCATTTAGATATAAATGTAGTACATAGTTAAACATTCCGTATTTTCGTCTGACATTTATCAAAATGAAAGATTGTGATACCTAATTAAATTTTTTATTCATTTATCGGTTATTTGGTTTTGTCGTGTTTATTTTACTGATACAATCTTCTTGACCTCTTAAGTAATGTACCTACGCATTACTTTTAATTTAAGATTAAAACATTTCCTGTTTTAATTGTTGTTACTTTTAATGAAATAGTAGATCTTATTAAATACTAGTTTAAATTTTAACTAATTAAGAGTAATACAATAATTTTCTTAAATTACTGTCAAAATCTGAGTTAAAGCATAGTGATTTATGTTCTTTTAAATTCTGAAGTAGTTAAAAATCCTTTACAAGATTTTTAGAGACTTTAATATCTTTAAGTAGGCATACTGTATAATTTTACTTTAGTACATGCATTTTTATTAAATTTATGCATTGTACGATTTTTAACATTCATTACAGCTACATTCATGTTGATTATTGGTTTGGAAAAACTGAATTTAATGTTTCTAAATTATGGATGAGTTTTATGTTTAAATATGTTTGTTTAATTTATTAGAATGGTTAATGAATTTTGTTAGTGTATGAAGTTTATTTTATTGTAACACTATAAAATTTAGATTGTGTGCAAAACAAAGGAGCTAATAATTGTTATATAATACATTTTTTCTACAAATATTTAATCTAAGTTTAACAAATTGAAGATAGGTAGGCAAATATGTTTAAATTAATGATTAATTTTATAGTATTATATTTGTATGATATTGAAAGAAAATTTGGTAAACCATAACTAAAAATTTACTACTTGTTTTCATCAGATAAAAATTACACCTAAAGATCGCATTGCAATATCATCTTATGAGTATATTATTTTCTAAATTTTGACCTAGTTAAAGAAGTATATTAATATATTTATCCTATACAAACATGTGAAAGTATGTTAAAAAAATTTTACATTCCACTGCACGTTTTCCTCAATAGATTTCATTCCGAATCATAGGCTATAAAATATATTATATAATATAATTATGTGGTTTTTTTTTTATTTTAAGCTTATCAATGAAAATTTTTGAAATAACTGAAGAATTAAAAGATTTATACATTATGAATAAAAATTAATCAATTTGCTACATTCTTTGATTTATAGATTTATTAAATTTTATCAAAATTAATAAATTATCATAAGAATACTGAGCATTCAGCAATAATATAATATAATATTTCAATAATTAATTATATAACATTGAATACTTACTGCATAAATATGATATTTGATGGTAACCTTCAAAATTAATATCAAATATAACATGTTTACTAAGTATTAATAAACCAAAGAAATTATAATAAAAAATCGGTTGTGGTGCAAATAATTATAAACTTGGTGTTACGATGTATATATTTTCTTTCATTAATCACATACAATTGTTATGTATAAACATTAAATTGCATATATTTTTATAATTTTGTTAAAGAAAAAAATTATATTTGATTTTTATAATATTTTTAATATTTAACAGTTTACATTTTATTTTAAGTACAATGAACATTAATAAAAAAAGTTATTGAAATATAATAAAGACTAAATGTAGATACTTTAAGTCTCTATATTATGCATATTGCAATATTTATTACTCATATTTTTCGTCATAAGTATCTATTTTAAATATATACTTATAATTAATGCAATATTTTGTACAGTTATAAGCCAATTTTGAACTTTTTGAGTACTATAGATATTAAAATATGACTCAATATCTGACTGTACTGTATTAAATTTAGTTTATTGGAAAACAATTTTTTTGAGAGAAGACTTACATGTTATATGCTGTAAATAAGAATGATACGCGATTGCAGGATGTAGACGAGATTTGATGCTGTCACATATATATTTTAATATTTACGTACATAACCCTCATAGTAAGTAATCAAACTTTCGAGTATGGATAGTAGTGTATTTTGTTTATTTTGTACAAAGTCAATATATTCTGAATACTACAGTCAACTGTGTACCTAGGAATTTTCAATGGGGAGGGATGTTATACGTATTTATATACTTAAGCGAATTGTGGGAGCAGATCCAAAGATACAAATAGCGCGACTTTATATGGGTTAAATTGTTAATATAGCAGTTTATAACAATGAACTAAGATATAAGTTATAAGTTATAAGTATATCATAGTCTGTGCTTATAACTTTATACTATATAGATGAATAAGTATATATATATGATATATAAGTGTTAAGGCAGCTTTTAGCGATTGATAAGCGACTAACCCCAAGTTTATTAATAGGTTAACCTACCATACTCGATACGGTTTTTTATGTGTCTTGTAAAATTAAGATTAAATGTTTATATAGTAACACATAACATAATAAATACGAGTATAGGTAGGTAGACACTAAATACTATGTAATAACCAGAGCACAGATTTCTAAGCAATTGCATATTTTTTTCCCTTTTCATTTTTTTTGAATTTTTGTTAGTAATCTTCACGAACTATAATCATTTTATTTGAATCTAATGGTGAAATTTTTTTTTTGCATATTTCTGCATAGGTTAATATTTAAATATTATCCATATTTTAATGGTTATTATTGTATATTTTTCCATATTTTTTAAACTTCAAAATGTATTAAAGCGAACATTTTTTATTGAATATTCAAGTAATTAATTACTAAAAGTTATTTAATTTGTGAATTTTAATAAACAAAAAAAAAATTTCCTTACATATTTTCATGGTTTTCACTACATATTATACAGTATATTTCGATACTTTTTAGTGCATAAAAATACGTGCTCTAGTAATAACTAATACTTATAATAAAAACTTTAATTAATATGTTGGCTAAAAAAATTATAATAGAATGGAGGAGCATAATCCTTAACCTGCATCCTCTTTAGCACGTCAATGGCTATAGGTAGTACTATTTACTGAGATTAAAATATAGAAATAACATACATATACAAGATGTTTAAATAAATACATTTATAATAAATAATAAAAAGGACATAAGGTATGGATTTATATTTTTTATGATAATATCGTGATAACTCGTAGGTATATATTATTTAATGAATACTAATTCAATTTTAATCAACATCTATACATCTAGTGTACAGATGAGCTATTTAATAATAAAAATAAATATTCTGCCATAGACTGAGGTACATATTGTTGAATATTAAATAATATAATAATATGAAAAATATGTAGGTATATTATAATATTCAATATTTTTTTTTTTTTTTTATATGTATTTAACTAATTAGTTGTTATACTTGTATAATTTGTAGTAGGTACTAATTATTATATTACATGCTGAATACATATAATTATATTATTATAGTCTGTAATTTTAAATTTATTTAAACTAAGCAGTGAGCTATAATATATTTTAAAATTTACTTTTCTATAATATTTTAATTAGAAAAATATAGACACAGTTTAAGTATTATTAGACTGGCGTTTTTAAAAATGAAAAAGATGATTTTATAGAATAATGTAATATTTATATATATATATATATTATAAAGCCATCAATAGTTAAATATTTTTATTAAATTATATTATTATTATTATATTTTGAAAGTTGCAGCTCATTAAAATTAAAATAATTTTAATATTTTATTTATACCTATGGTAAATTATGTTGATCATGAATAAAATAAAAACAATATATATTTAATATACCCAGTATTATAATACTTTTAATTTTGTTTATTTTTATATTTAAAATATAAAATAGATAAACTTGAAAATAAGGGTAGGCAATGTTATCGATTATTAATTAAAAAGTTAAAATATTGTATTTAAATATTAACATATTTTTTGCCAATATTGGCCCCTTAATAGGTAGCCAGGTAGAATAGTATTTAAGTAAATTGCACGTGATAAAAAATTATGATAACGAGAAGTGGACAGGATTTTTATTTGGAAGGGAGAGGCAATCATATCACGTATATATATACTTAGTTCACAAGAAAAATATGTCACATATGTTAATATTTTGTTTAGCTACTTGTAAGAAAATTCTTTGCTAAACTAAAATATGTTTGTATGGTAATTTTTTACTGACGTATAAGGTAAAAATCATTAAGTCTAAAATTAACAGATATACAGAAAAGTTGTGTCAAGAATAAGCGTGGTCCATCATCCTTTTCTTAAGGTAAAATAATTTTTTTTTATTAAAAATATAAAATGCTTGCAACCGTTTAGTTTTATATAAAAATAGCAATTAAGTCGTAGAAGAAATAAAACATGGTCACGTTTTAGAATCTTGTGGTGACACTACTTTAACTTTTAAATTGTAAATTTAGGGTGGTGATTGAAAATAATTTTAATAATTTATAACTAATTTATTAATAATAATGTATTATTACATATTTACATTTATTTTTTAATCAAATTTAAACTAAAAATGTATCTTTGAAAACTAGTCATTAGTAACTTAATTTTTGCACTTATTGTAAAATATGTATAGTTCATATTTTCAAAGGTATATATTTTAATTAAACTCGAATAGAGCCGTCAGGCTAAGAAATCTTGAATTTTTCCTATTGGATCTTAATATTTTTCATTTGATTAGTAAAAAGATAGGCTTACATTTTCAAATCTGGAAATAACCTATTTATTATTTGATTATTAAAAGTGCTATGTTCATAATATAGTAGCGAATTTATGTCTAATTAGTTGTAGCGCGTATTTTCTCATATAGTCATATAACATGTATTTATGAACTTATTGTTAGATAAAATTTTATCTGATAGAATACCGAAATCTTATGATACTTCTATATTAATTATTTTTAATGTGATTTATTTGATTAGATATCCAAATATTCAACATACAACGAACCGTGACGCGTTAACTTGTGCGCTATCTCAAACAGTGTCTGTTTACTAATAATTTAAGTTCATAGATAATGATAGGGGAGGTGGTGGTTCACATCAATCAAATAATTTCCAAGCTTTTACCCAAAAAAATATTTAATTATCATGTCATTCAGTAAGTTAGGTTAGATTTTACTATTTTTTTCTTAAATAATTTGTATTGCTTGTAAAAATAAAACAATTTATTATTAATATTATCATTATATAATTCATAAATTTAATAGTATTTTGGTATTTTGTTGGTGTCGATATTTTATTTTTTGATCACCCGTTTTTTTTAAAAAAAACCTAACCGTTTAAAATTTCAAATACACTTGGGTAAGATTTACATATTAATATATCTTTATAGACTGTTAAAGTGTTAATTATAAAGCAGCGAACATGGATCATTTTATTAAAAACATTTTTGCAAAGTTAATTTTTTAATAATTAAAATTTACTGAAGTTTTTAGCCCATTACTAACATGTAGCATTATTCTTTTTTAATTGAAATTCATAATAGAAAAAAAATGTTAGATATTTTTAAATGAACAAAAACAAAACAAAACCATAAATAAAATGATCCGTCTGATAAGTATACGCGTTTTAAATTCGCAATATTAGCATGTTTTTAAAACTACTAGCGTCTATTGATTATTATTTTTTCTATTAAAGTTTACGTATCTTTAAGTAACACAGTTTTAAATATATGTTATATTAAAATTATTCTCATTGAAAAATAGAAATCTCAAGTATATAATTAAATGTTATGTTTGCCGTCAAATCAAAAAGATGTAGTCAATATAATTATATGAATTTTGCTCTTGTGTAAATAATCTGTTTGATTATTTTTAGTTTAAATTTATATGACGTCTTTTGCATTATTTTTATAGTATTTACATTTTATAATACAGGATGCAAAAACATATAGGATATGTTTAGGGCCTTACGGGATAATCGTGTACATTGCTATAATGCTTTTTAATGATATTTACAAAAGGAGAAATATCATTTAATTGATAATTGATGTAAGGTAGTTTTTGAGAACCAAATTTGGGATTATTTCTAATAAATTATACATTTTAAAATGTTTATTATGCGCAACTCATAGCAACAAAAGTAATTAACAGTCGTAAATCAGTAACATTTTACAATAATAAGAATATAATTTTTATTTTATATATTTACTTACCTTTTTAGGACATGGTTATATAAGAAATGTAGATAATCATACATATTTTAATGAAATAAATGTATAATTTTGTTGTATACATAAAAATTCGAGCTCAATTTATAAGAAACTGTGATATTCAATATAAAATAACCACTGTATGAATTTCAATAAATTACGTAAAGTAAATAAGATTAAATAGGTATGAAAATATGTTAATGTTAATTTATACAAATAGACGTATTCTGACGTATTTTAATGATTTGACCATTGTACTTTGTATTATTATTTTTATTATTATTAGTATAGCTGGTAATAAATTGTTATACGTTTTTAAAATGTACACAATAACTATAAAAATTTGCTCTCTCTCAAGTACGATCCACAATTTTGATAAATATTTGCATTTGGCATAAAATGAGGCATGAGTAAATAGGTAAGATAACATCACTTCGTTATGAACGATATCAAAAAAATATAAATCTACTTAAATAAATAAATAAAAAAAAAAATTTAATGGCGACATGCATAAATTATATTAATAGCTTTCAATATTTTTAGTTACAACAAGGTAAAACGCGTTTTAATCACGGTGCATTATTTATCGGTGGTGTGGTTTTAATTCTTTTATATAAAAGGATTACCTGACGTCATATTTGTATAATACCATACTGTAGTATTAATTATTAATGACAGGTAATTGATATCTTGGTTGAGTATCAGGAGGAAAACGGATCAATTTAACTACATCGCAATAGTACATGAAACGTGCCAATTTTTATTCGCGCGAAAAGGGAAGAATTTTTGCGTGAGAGAAAGTGAGATAAGACGTTGCGACTGCACACGAAACCGGTCGAACGACTGAAAATCTCAGCATGTCGCTCAGAAAATTACAAATTTTGTGTAAAATTAATGTGGTGTTCGGACGAAAAGCTGATGGTTAATAACTGTGATAATAAATGTTTGAATATGTTTGAAACTGCAGGAGATATCAAAGGGCTATATTTTATCAATACTGCAGTCTACCTATATAAACACACACATCAGTGGCCTAATCACTGGGTGGGGGGGGGGACATAGACTACAAATCAATTATTATCGGAAGATAAAAATATGTATGATTATTAAAGTGCAAAATCAATTATCGGGTCTACGATCAGAATTTATCAACCGTTGTTATAGAAATTATCACGCTCGGTTAACAAATATTTTTCTTCTAAAAAAAAAAAGGTAGTTGAAAAAAAATTTAAAAATTTAGATTTTTGATTAATTTTGACATTTTCCGTGCTTCAGAAGGAGAGGGGGTTCGGGCTCTGAGTCTACTCTTTCGGAGTGTCACTGACACCTACACACACACACTCTCGGAGGATTTCCAACACACTTTCCGTGTCGGTCTGTCTGACGTTGTCTGCAGCGTTGTTACAAACGGTGGCCTGCACGGCGACGTTTCGGTGTGTGATCGACTCGATAAAACGAACGTGGTACGAATATGCGACCGTTTATTTACGTTGTATGTAATTCGGCAGCGGCGGCGCCACGCGATAATATCACCGAACTCGGCGATTTCGTATCGTGCGTGTACGTGTGCGTGTGCGCGTGCGTGTGCGCGCGCCGAACACTGCGAGGTAACGGCATCCCTTATGTCGTAAAGCAGGAGGATATTTCATCAGCAATATTTTTACCACGCACTGTTTTTTAAACATTCCGACATCCCTCCCCGTGCCGCTGCCGCCGCCGCCGCCGCCACCGTCGCGCAGACACACGACTGCATACCTATCCCGGTGTAGGTTTCTTTCACGAAACCAACAACAATAATCCACGCCATTTCCGGTGCGTGTCGTGCGCGTGTGTATAGAGTGGTATTATATTATTTATACAACACAATAATATAATATTATAATATGGTATTATAGTGCGCGTACTATAACATGGCCGAGGACATCCGTTAAAACCGCACTTGGCGGCGTTGCAGCGGCAGCACATGCTACGCGCGCGTAAGACGGCCACCCGGTTTCTTCCCCTCACCGCGGGCCGGCGCTATTCCCTCCCGTACGCGCCCTGACACTGAGGACCCCTCCAGGGTCGTCAGTCATCGGTTAGGACGACGACGACGACCTCGGCGCACAGGTAAAACGACCCCTGGAAAAACGAATCCGAGCGAGTGGGGAGTGGGCCCTCCCCGCTTACGACGGGCACGGTTGCGCCGTACGCGTGACCGTCTGCAGTGATCGGTGCAGCAACGGTTACGGCGCAGATCCGGTTAAACGGCGCGTATTCAAAACAAATCATCATCACCACCACCAACAACAACAACAACAACAACAACAACAACAATAACAACAACAGCCGCAAACCATACAACGACATCGGCGCACCAGCAGCAACAGAAGAGTCAAAACACGCGGTGCGCGCGTACACAAAAACGCCGCGCCACCACCGTCTACGAGTAGCAGCAGTAGCACCAGCAGGCCCGTCGGCTGTGCCACGCTATTATAACTTCGGTACGGCCGTCCACGATTAGACGTTTAGTGTTGAAACTGCCCCGGTGAGGCAAGCGAACGGCAAGGCGGCGACGCGCTGCGACCCGCGCGGGTACCACCGCACACACACGCAAGCGCGCGATCGGCGCACGCACACGCACACGCACACACACACACAGCCACGATATATTATTATATCAGTAGTGCTCTATCGCAAGTAGGTGGTAAACATTACACATTGTTTTGTTTTTTACGATTTCAGTTTGTTTTTAACTTTTTTTTTTTTTTTTTTATGTTCCGTTTTTGTTTCCGTTTAATGTAATATTCATAGTTAATTTTTATGTAATTTTATTATTTGTCATAATCTTATCTTTTCATTATTAACATTATTTGTTTAATAATTGTATAACGTCTTACATTTGTAAAAATAATATTATATATAACACCACATAGGTACGTACCACGTCCGAAAATATAATATACTAGGTAGGTGTACTAAACGTAAACCTACTCTAAACGTTTACTTAATTTTATTGTTTGGAATATTTTATCTTTATTATCAGTAATTCTTATTATAATACTATTATTATTATTATTATTATTATTATTTGCATGACCGTGTTTTATATTTTCATACCATACATATTATTATTATTATTATTATTATAGTGTCCGTTCTGTCTCGTTGCAACCACTCGGTCTGCAACGTGTGCTTGTGCTTACAATAATTCACGTTTTTGTAGGTATTAAGTATATAATACGTCGTACGTGTTCATGATATGTAAAATTATGTCGATGACCGATGTAGTTAGTTTTTTTTTTTTTACGTCTTGGTCTTATCTTCGTCGACGTAACCAAAAACATAACAACAATGTTGCTGTCGCTTGTCGTCGAATAATAATAGTAACATTATATTGATCCCGTCGCCGTGTCTCGCGCCGTGTCAGACTGTTTGGAGTACCTACACAGAAAAAATATGTTTCGGCTGTGTATAGTTTTGGCGCCAATTCTTAATCAAAAATTCCGACGACGATATCGGCGCCGACACCTAATTTTTCCGTCACAATCGATCCACCGTGTTCTGACGTTGCTATTCGATACTACAATACATATATGTATTAAATGTATATTGTATATAATAATATTGAGGAATGCAATTATTCATTGCTAGTTATTATTACACGTAACATTGATATCTTATTCGATAACGAAGATTAATATTATTTTATTCTCGTTACGCTCTCTGTCTATTCTCCGGCTTCCGGTACAGCGCGTTAGACACACTATCCTCCCGACTACGCTTTATAGGCATGCGTAAACGCGAACATCACTGTCGACTAGCTTCTCGAAAATTCGTCGGCTAAATCCTTCTCCGCAACGACATAGTTTACTGCGATATCGAAAAGGTTCGCGAGTAAATCGTTTCTGGTGATCCGTGCGCTATGCACTTATAATACACTACCCATGATAATGTTATTATGCGAGCCGGTTGATTGTTGCGCGCACGGCGAAGGAACATTGACTATGCATTGTATAGTCGCACGATAGTTACCTATTATATAACGCACTTAAGAGGACGTTATACCGCATGACACGTCAAACGGTAATAAGACTTGCTGCCCTTCTGACGAACGTTTTCACATGGACAATTTTACGTTCAGAACGATTCGTTTTACTCTACTCTGTCGTTTTTGTAATATTGGAGTGGATTTCGATCTGTAATCAAATTTACAGACGAGAATATTATTATCCAAGGCTCCTCGTAGGTTTTTCTTAATACTTTAATATTAAAATATTGAAAAAAGCCTATGCGCTTCGGCTAACATACTTATCTTTGTATTCCTACCCTATAAGTCAATTTAAAAATCAAGACGTAAATTTTGATGTTATGCGTTAATAGAACAGAGACAACACGATATACCACTATAACTCTTCTTAATTGTTGATGCGTAAATTGTATACACCATGCAATATAGGTATCAGAATTCCGGTACGTTAGAAAAAAATATCTAAATCTAATCTATAAAACAGTGTAATTACAGCTTATATAATAATTATGTGTGTTTCCTGAGATATTGTCAAATATTTTTCTCGAAAATTCTGACGGTGCAAGATAATATTATAATATAATTTATTGTTGTCTTAATAAGAGTTAAATTTTTTTTTTGCACTTATATTAGGTATTTGATTTTTGCTCTGTCATGTAATCATTATATTTCTCTTTAACAAACTTAATTTAATTATCTGGAAAAAAGTATTTTAAGTAAGAATGCTATTAAGTACTATTGTAAGCATCGGTTTTTAACTGTTTCGAGTACTTATAGAAAATTAATTAAAATAGTACATATTATTCTTTGCTTTAATTGGCGAAAAAATATAAAATTAAAAATAATATAAACTATTTATTAATGTATATAGTATTAAAGTTTATTGATTTAATCAAACATGAGCATTTAAAAAAATAAAAAAATACCAAACTTAGACTTAATTACACTATTTCACTTTAAGTATTAGTGCACTGTGTTACCAACGAGAATAATTATCTTCGTTTGTATAAATTTGTAATATCAACGTTAGTATTATAAAAACGCGCATATTCATGTAGTATAATTGTATAAATAACCATAACCACATAATCTTATCTATACTGTCGTGTTTAGTCTTTAATACAAAATAAGATATATTATGGCGAAGCATTTATAGTAAAATAGGTAGGTACCTACATGGCTACATATTTAATTAAATAGAATTGTGATAGAAGTATTAACTTGGAAGTATCTTCACTAGATCATATGCATTAAAATATTTTAATTTTCATTAAATTATATTAACACAATATTGTAAAAATGATTTACAGTTATTTGAGCTTTAAGACATTATAGTTATATTAAAATCTAAAATAAGTAATATAATAATAATATTCTAATATGCAATACTTTAACGAAATAAATTAATAATCATATGAATGAAAAGGGTGTATTGTATATTTATATATTTGTATCAATATGAATAAACAATTTATTTTAATTTTTAAATTATTTTGATAGTGTTTTCTACTATGAATATGAATTTCTCAGGTAAATTTTTTTATAAAGTATTGAACAATTTATTATAAATTAATATGAAGCAATTAAATAAATTAAATCGATTTGTCTTAGTTCTGTGGCCTGTATAGTAACAATTAAAATAATAATAAAATATAACTTACTTAAATTTGTTATTAAATACTTGTCGAGTTGGTACTCATATTATTTTTAAAGTAAACATTTATAAGCTTACAAAAAATTGTTGATGTTTAAGTAATTATGCCATAGATAAAAATAATAATTGAAAAATCTTGGATTGATATTATATTATATTGAAACGATTTAAAATTATAAAACAAATTACTGTTATTGGATGATTCTTCTTTCCTCCCGTCGTCAAGTCTTATTAAATGAATAAATGGCATGTCGTGCCATTTTTATACTACGTAATTTATTAGTAGACAAGTATAGATTGTAAAATTACCAAAAACAAATAATATATAAAGTTGTATTAAGTATACTTAATATGTTTTTGGTCAACTTCAATTATACATTATGTGTATGTATTTAAAGCTAATTTTTATAAAAACATAGTAACGCTAAATACAAAATAAGAGTTAAATTCATCAATAGGTAAGTTATTTGTTCGAAAAAAAATTATTTTATAATAAATTATCAAAAGCTATAATATTATAATTAAAGTATCGCTGTTGAATTTGTAAAAGGTTTTTATAATAATAAAAACAAAAATATTCATATAAAGGAATTAGTTGGGTAGTAAAATAGTTTGTCGTAAAAAAATTAAATTACAAAGAATACAATTGAAATTTAAAAAAAAAAATTACTTTCAAGTTTATTATATATGTGTTTATATATATATATATATATACGATTATAATAAAATGTGGCACTTTAAAACCCTGTAATAGTTAAAGGAATTTTTTGAGCAATTTTTTTATGTTATATATTATAGATATACGAGTATAATAAGATTTCTATATATTATAAAATCATAATATTAATTTAAATATAAACGTAAGTATACAAAGAGAGAAGCAAATGCCTCTAGCAAAACAGGATTTAAAGTGGATATAAGTACTGTATAAGTAATGATAATTTAAACTTTAAATTTGTTTTTATGTAAATACTAAATAAAAATAATGGTTTAGTGCATGTTTAAAAAAAAATTATTAAACGTAACTACTTATTTCAACTTTTTTGTAATTATTTTAAATATTTATAGTAAACAATTATATTTATGTTCATACATAAATTTATTTTAAGTATTTCATACATTGAGTAGATTGATGTCTTCAAGAATTTAATCATTATAATTTTTTAATAATTTAACTGTAAAACTTTTATGTATCACATAATTAACAAAGTTTATAAGTTCATGTTGTCAATTAATTATTAAAAATGTAGAATTCCTATGTTTTATTACATTAAACATAATAATATGTCTATGTACATATATTTATGATTATACCTATCTATTCATTATTAATTGTTAGAATATCGTATTTAAAACTATTTAAATAATATTTTTCTATAAAATGATCAAAAAGTTAATTTATGTATAAATATATTTAATTTATCATGAGGTTTATTCTTTTATGGCTTTAAAAAATGTAGTAATAATATCTGAGTTTCTTAATAAATTTAAATATGTTATAAATATATTATTTAATAGTTTACAAATTAAAGTAAATACCAGAGTTAAACTAAATTCCGTGTACTTATTTTGTATTTTAAATTAAAAATTAATTGAAAAAAATCTTATAATTTATTAAATAATTAGAATAAATGACATGTTTATACGACATGCATATGGTATTAATAATATGTAATTTATAAAAAATTGTAGTGATTTTGAAAATTTCATACTTTATACGTTTATGAATTATAATAATTAGAATGTTAATTTTTCATATATACTACAGAGTGGTACACGTATAATATTTCACTTTTACACTTATTTCTGAAGTATTTGTAGAAGGTACTTCCAGAGTTGTAGCCTATTGACAGTTTATTTGATAATTACAAAATTAAATTGTTTTGTGAGCTTTTATACTTATAGTATTATTTATACTTAAAGTTTAAGATAGTTATTTTTACTTTCTAATTGTAATTATGTAGTAGACACTTTTTTTTCTTATTTTTTTTTCAATATATATATGTACATATTAAGTGACTACTCTAATAATACGGCCCAAATATAACAAACTTTAAATTGTAAGCCATTGTGGTTAGATATGTAGTTCATTGCACATTTTATATAAATACAAAATGATACTAAACCTATTTCGCATTTGGTATTTACATAATATATTGATTAATTATATTTTTAGTTTAATATATTGTTAAAATGGTTTGAATATTAATTATGCATTTCATGGATTTTTATTGTGGATTTCATTTACAAATTATCACTTAATTTAGATTATATTACCTATATAATATGTTTTAGTCATTTAAAAAAAAAAATACGTAGTTAATTGATTATTTTTCAAAAGCATCGTTAATAGTTTAAAATATGTATCACTTTCCTATATGTTATTTAATATTTAGAAACAAAAATGACTTATAGGTAGATAAATGATATACCTTACTAACATAATTTTTAATGTAAATAATATTATTGTTTTTAATGAATTTTAAACAATTTATCATACATGTGATTAAACCTACATAATATAAATGTGTAAATACTAAATATACGTATGTAGGTATTGATAAATACGTTAACACATTTTTATTTTGCTATCATATTATTACCTACGTAATAAATTATTCTGAACGGTGTGTGAATGCAGTTATTAATTATAATTCAGGTAATAATTACTTTATTTTACAGTTAAAATGAATTATTTAAAAACTATGCAAATGAATTAGTCGAGTTGCAATGTGATATTATGTCGAGTTATTATTATTATTGATGTTATAATTTTATTTTTGTAAATCACTGCAGTAATTCATTCAACCCGAGTCTGAGGAATTCCAAACGTCCTCGAACTCCTCTTATAATAATACGCCAGCTAATTTATCTCATCTTTTGATTACTGTAGTTAACTCCGTACTTCAAGACCGGCTTTCGTTCTTATACAATCAACCGTGGTATCCTTTTACATTTAAAGCATTCCAACCGACAACAATTCAATCGTTTGTATCAATATAGTATCAGAAATAACAACAATAACATCTGAAAATTACATTAAAAAAAGTCATTCAAAATTGTTATTTAATTGAAAATAAGTTTGATTTAGTACATAAATAAATTTAGAACTATATATTATTATTATAAAAAAAATTTCAATTAAAATATTGATGCCGTTTGGTAAATTTATATAAGTTTGTTACAAATGTACACTACAAACATTTAACCCGTCTTTTCGTCTTAATTTGAATTTATAGATGATAAAAATAATGACCTTTGTTTTTACATTTATAAAATATGTAGCATTACGATAAGTTCTATATAGGTACCTGGTGCTTGTATAAATATATTATTCATCTACACATCTTTGTTAGTTGTTTCCGTGATTTCACGCGCTTAGACTCTAAATGGATTAAGAACATTTTCATTTTAACAATAACCTGAGCCTAAATTTTTTCTCAGAGTGTTTTACTAATACAAAAATTGTATCTCTAATAATAACAATAACATAAAATAAATATCATATTTGTATACGATTATTTAAAATCATAAATTATCGATACAAGAAAATTGAAAATATGCAAGACAAAAAATATTATGACCAATACGAACACTAAAGGAACTTGATATTAGATGCTATAGTATGGTTTAATAAAGAAAATAATTCCTTATATTTATTATGATACACAGAAGCCGCAAAGTGTAGTGTTTTCAATTTGTATATACCTTATGATATTAAATGCTATAATGTGGTTCAATAAAGAAAATAATTCCTTATATTTGTTATGATACACAAAAGCCGCAAAGTGTAGTGTTTTCAATTTGTATATACTTTTTAAGTTTATAGATAGTACATTTTTAGATTAGAATAGTTTTAAATATAATTTAATCGTCATAACCATGAGTAAATGATATGCTAAACATTTATACTTACAAGTTACAATTAGTTGTATGACTATTAGTCATTGACTATTATACACATATATCTAGCTATTACATTCGTTGGTTTAAGGAAACTTACAAAAATATTGTCACATTTTTGTTATAGATTTTTTAATATTATGTCTATAGTTACGTAACACTTGTTTGTTGAATACTTTAAATTATACCTATTACTGATTTGTAAAGTCATTAAGGACTACTATTTGAACTGTTTATGAAGTTATACATAAGATTTTATTAAAAACAAAAATATCAAAACATATTTTGATAATTGACCTACATTAGTAGAATTTATGAAGACTTATTTTTTGTTAACATTTACACAACAAACTTTTACAAAAATTATTACATAGTTAGGTGTAATAATAGTAATATATAACAATATTAACCTTATGTAAGACTATATAACTTTACGTACATAAACGTTTTTGTTATTGATTTTACCCATAAAGCTTGTTAAATACATGTTTTAAATGTAAAACAATTAATTAAATTGTTCTTAAAAATACTTATACATTGCTGTAAAATAAATTTTACTTAAGACAAGTTATAAGAGTACATTGAATTGAATAACGATTTTTTTTCAACTTTATGTGTTTTTTCATATTTTAGTAAAATTTAAACACCTTATTTTCAATGAATAAAGAAAATTTATCTTCTGTTTTGGTTTACATTGTAAATATATAAGAATGTTAAATTAACATATTTATACAATAATTATTGATGATTATTATAACATGTCAAGGAAATTAATAAGAATTAATAAATTAATTTCCAATTTAATTAATTCTATATTTATACGCATCATGTAAATTGTATCTTATGTAAATTAGACTTCAATATATAATTTTTAATTGATGTGTCAGATTATTAAATAATTATTTTATGCTTATTTAAAACTACTTATGAAGTTCATACAACATTAAATAGGCAGGTAGGTAGATATAAATATAATTTAAGAAAATTAATGATGTAAATATTAAAGTGATAAAACATATTAAATTAAAAACATTCTTATTTATCATTTGATATAAATAACGAAGAAATCAATTAATACTTTAATTAGTTTTGCTTAGTTTAGGATGTTATCGTATACTTATATTTTTCAGTAATTTATTTAATTTTTATGTTTAAGCAATGATAATTTAAATAGGTTTTTTGTATTTTAGGTTTAATATATATTATTTTCTAGTCACTAATTAGTATTTAATTTTGTTGTTTTATAATATAAATTATTTTACTTCATAAAATATGTATTATGAAGTATAGTGTTCGACTGTCTAGTTTACCTACTTGTTATTAATTTTATTTTTTGTACATTAGTAATTTATTCGTAATGATAATTGTTGTTATTCAAATTCAAATTTTGCTCTACTTTGGTATGAAAATTTTTCTATGTAATATAGTAAATTTTAGTAGTTTAAATACATAGCTCAATGGATTGAAAACTTTAGAATTTTTTAATAAAATTAAACTAATTGAGATGCAAGATGACGAGCAAGCTAATTATTGCAGTAAGCAGATATTGCTACATAGTATAATCGCTTATAAGTTATGTTTATGCTATACAGTATACATAGGACATAATTTTGTGATTGAAGAATTTTATTATTTTGTAGCATATATCTTCAGTTTTGTGAAAATATATAAGCGTATATTTAAATTGGTTTAAAAAAACGTAGTGATTACAATAATTGATTAAAGTTATGCTTATTTTTACAAATCGTATACGTTTTTGGAATTTAATTATTATAAACGCGTTATCAATTTGTACTATGTTTAGGCATGTTAATAATGATAGTTATCAGTAATATTACTTTATGTTCAACAACCATAATATTACGCAATTTTGTATTAGAAAATGCTGATCTTGCTCTGAAAATCATTAAAATCATACAGTATTTTATTGTTTTTTTAAGCAAGTAAATTGAAAAAATAAATTCAAAGTTAAGCTTTATGCTTGTAATTTGCATTATTTATTGGATATTTTGAATAAGTAAACGAGCAAAATATGTGAAAAAATAATTTATTTTTTAATAACCCGAGCTTAAATTTAAAAAAAACCTAATGGCTTATATACATATTAATAACAGAAATAAAGTCGTTAAATATAAAAAAATACTTTGGTTTGAAATTCTGATTGAAAAACAAGTAATTTTGAAAATTATAAATAATATATATTTTATATAATACATTTTTTTGTTTTTACTTCAATGTAAAAAAATAATATTTTTTTTTATTTATTCTAGTATTTAATTGTAACTATTTAATAATATATGATAATAATAATAGTTGAATATAATAGAGGTATTTTAATTTAAAGCATAAATTTGTAAGATAAATATTACTGATATAATGATAATCTTACATATCTAAAAGTTAAAAGTTTAATCTCTTGTTTATTTAAGTGTAATAAAGTAGTTGTTTTTAAAAAAAAAATAAAAAATAAATGTATACCTACCTATTATATTTGTGGTGCCACATAATAAACATTATCATTATCTCTGCTTATTAGAAGGTCACTTGAATTAAATAAAAGCTGTGTCAAATCTTGTATCATTCCCTTGCTGTATACTAATTTGTTTTATTAAAGTATGGTGTTTAATAACAAAATAATCGTTGTATATAATAAAAATATTTTAATTTAAATCAATTTTAAATTTAATAAAATTTAATATTATTTTTGTAATATTTCAGAAATGACAGGAAGACGAATTGTGGTAATGGCCAGACATGGCGAAAGTGAATGGTCTAAAAACAATGTGTTTTGTGGATGGTACGATTCACATTTATCTGACCGAGGTAATCAAAATAATAAACCTTTTCATAAGACAACAAGTTATGAATTTTATAATGTAATTTATTATGATAACTTTAAGATAGTTGTAAAATATAACATTAAAATTATTTTATCGTATCAATAATTATTAACAAGTAACAACTAATAAATTATAACAGATGATCAATATTACCAACATATTTTATGAATACATTAATTATACATTATAATTTCAATATTTAACAGAACTCGAAAATATATTTATTTTTTTAACTATAGTTGAGTCATATATTTATCTGATATTTATTTTATGTTATATACAAACGAAAATATTTATTTATCTATCGCATGTAGAGTCTGTGTCTACTTTTACAGTATTTTCTGTGTTGAATGTATTGATTTTTTTACATTAAATATTATAATACTTATTTTTTTAACTTCTTAATTGCATTAATATTTAATTGAATTAATTTTTATAATGTAAAATTTATAATAAATTATTTTCTTGGCATAATATTAGGTATAAACGAAGCTCTCGAATGCGCTGAATTGTTGAAAAAATCAAATTATAAATTCGACAAAGCTTATACATCTTTGTTGACTAGAGCTCATCAAACTCTAAAGATAATCACTGAACACATTGGCCAGCCAAATTTACCAGTGGAAGAATCATGGAGACTAAACGAAAGACATTATGGAGCTTTGACTGGATTTAATAAAGCTGAAGTAGCTGAAAAATACGGCGAAAATCAGGTACTATAGTCTATATTTATGAACATTGAACACTGGTAAGTTTATATTATGTAATCATTATAAAATCGTACTAAAATCTTGATATTCCTGATACTATTGAGTTTCATTATAAAAAATAGCATAATCTAACTTATCCTAACCTAGCATTTATTTCTTTTGAGTATTAAATAAACAAAAACAATTTGTGCTGTCAAATTATTTGATTGAACCTCGCCTTTTAATAGATTACTGTAATGGACATATTAAATTTGAATTTAATGCTTTATCATTGCACAAAAATGAAAGCAATCAAATGTCTTTATTTCTAAAAATATTTTAAAATTTATTTAAACTCAAGATAAAACTATAGTAATTATTTTAATATTATAATATATATATATATATTTAGTTATTCACTATTATAGGTTTTAAGTTAATACCAACATAATATACATAGAATGGTGTTATTATTGTTATTAGAATTGAGGTAAAAATAGTTTAAAATTAGAGTAAATATTTTGAAAATTTTATCGTGTTTAAAAAATAAAAAATTTTAATTCCTGAAATTAATATTTTTAAATAAAAAAACTAAAACTAAAATCATTAAAGGAAATGTTATTTTAAGTGGTACATATAGTGTTGTCTAGTTTTAAACTTCATATTATATTTACAGAAAACAATTGCGTGTATATATTTTTAATAATTTTAAATTGTTGTAAAAGTATGAAATAGAGTTTTATTGAACTTCATTTTCAATCTTGAGATATGAAAATTGAAAATGTTAAGATTTTTTATTTATAAAACCATTTGTAAATGTTCATGATTTTGTTAATATTTTAACTTCAAACTTTAAAGCTTTTCCTTTTTGAAGTATAACAAAATAAAAATTCCTTTCATATTGCAAATTATTATTACATGGATATTTGTTTTTGTGGTTTTTTCTAGTTTTTCTAAATTATTTGAAAATGTTGGTGTATAATATTTTCTATTTTAAAAGAATCTCTAGTGTATTAAATAGACCTATTACTTTCTACCGAAAGCTAAAATTGAAACAATTTTATTAAACTTAAATAGACGCGCACCAAAAACACACATGGTTGTAAAATCAATATATTAATCACTTCGCCCAGAATATAAAATTATTGAGAAATATGAGTATTTATTAGGCGAGATGTATACATTTTTGTTATATTCCGCATTTTCGTGCAACTTAGTAATTATGATAACTAAATTAATTCGTATTTTTGGTTCTATGGTGCTGTATCTACATCTAAAAAATATAAATTATTATTTTAAAATTGTAAATAACTTTAATTTAATTTTGAATTTTAAGTTATAAGTAATAATATAATAGAGTATTAGAGTAGGTACAGGTATACTTTGTTGATAACATCAGTTAAGCAGATATTCATTTTGAAAATTTAAGTGCCCATAATAAATACATTAATTATTTATAAACTATATGTAATATGTATGAATTAAAAAAAAATTATTTCTATTTAAAAAGAAATTATTTTTAATAGTTATCTATGCGTAGAAGTTTTTGATGGTGATCTATAGTTTATATGTTAAACTTATAAATATACATTGTAAAAAAGTTTTCAAAATAATCAACTTATATTATTAGTTTTATTAATATAAACATTTTTATTTAGTTTAAAATAAGTAAAACAAATTTCTATTGTAAATTTTGTACCCAGTAATTTACATTTGCACTATTACATATATACATTTGAGTAGTTCACATTATTGTTATTTTCAGGTACAAATTTGGAGACGCAGTTTTGACGTTCTTCCACCGGAGATGGATAAGTCACATACATATTATATGTCTATTTGGTGCCACCCAAAAATTGTGGCTCACTCATACACCACAAGTGAAAAATTTCCTTCTACCGAATCACTTAAAGAGACAATGGGGAGGGTCATACCTTATTGGGATGATTTTATTGTGCCTAATATCAAACGAGGACAACGAATTTTAATCGTTGCCCATGGTACGGTTTTGCGAAGTCTTATCAAGTACTTAGATGGTAAATATTATTTTTGTTTTCATATGATAAATACAATAATCATTACTGTTTAATTTTTTTTTTTTTTAATTAGGAATATCAGATAATGATATTTGCTCAATAAACATCCCTTCGGGCATTCCATTCGTTTACGAATTTGATGATGATATGAATGTCGTGTCTTCGAAACAATTTTTGGGTGATAAAAAACGAATCGAAGAAGGAATAGCAAGAGCTGCGTCAATCGGTTCTCATTAAACTGCCAATTATGAAATCGTCTTCAGCAAATGACTATTTTTAATCTGGAATTTTGTCAGATATTTGCTAATTAATTATTATGTTTTATTTAATTTTATAAGTTAATTTTTAAATATATAATTATTGATAAACTATTCTTTTTATAATAAAATATAGTATTAATAATTCAATAATAAATATTTATTTGTGAGTTAAGTGTATTGAAGATAAGTAAATGCATGAGCGAAAATCAAATTATAGTTTTCTATAAATTATAAAATAAATGTTGTATATTATTGTAGGTTAAAAATAATTACCGACCAGCCACTTATTTTATTTAAAATTATTCATCATCTCACTTAGATTTTGAAGTATTATTTATAAAATTGTTCTCATAAATTGTGTTTCTTGTATAGATTGACTAAATTTTTTTAACAAAAGTAACTTAATATAATCTTAAATCTTTATCGAATAAAATAGATTTTGTTTTCTATAATTTTAACTGAAAACCAGCAAACTGAAACGTTACTTCATCGTTTAAAATAAAATTTTATTTTCCGATATCTAAAATAATATAATAGGTTATTTACTCATCACTTATCACTGAGGTATATTAGCTGTCACCTATCACTATATTGTACTGGAGCTTATGAAAACGCATAATGTAGGAATTAACTGGATTTGTGCCATCCCCCCTCTTATTTTGATCCACTTCAACCTAAGTTTATAGTATTAATAAAATACTAGTAAAATAATGCAACATTAAACAGATGTTGGAAATAAGTATTATAACCAATAACTAACTGTTAATTGTCAAACAACAGAAAACATTTAAATAAAATCAGATTTTTAGAATTATAAACTAGATTATGGGAAATGTTTAATGATCAGAACAATAAGAATTTTAATTCAATTAAAAGACACACTTAAGTGTCACATATACCTGATGAAAACTACCTTAATCAACGGTTGTCAAAAACAAATACCATACAACTTACAAACATGAACTTATAAATATAATTTAAATTTAAAAGAGAGTAGTACTCTCTCATACCATAGAAATCTTTGGAATTTTTTTTATTAAGATATTTAGACATTTTGTAATTATCACTTGATATAATATTATTCAATAATATAACTATTATATGTTTTTAATGTATATTATATAACAATTTTTATAATAATAGAATTTGTTTGATAACCCTTAAATGCTGAGACTTGAGGGCTGAGACCGATCGACGGTAAATGTTGCAATTAAATTTAAATCAAATTAATAGATATTATACGTTCCTGTAGAAATTGTTTTCTTTAAAAATGTGTAACAAGAACAATAAGTTTTAGGTAGTGTAGTTTAAAAATATCTGTATTATCTTAGTTTAAAACGTATAAAGTCGTTTTAGAACTCATTGTGTGCTTTTGTTCGTTGTACTTTTCCAAAACGCGCCGTAGAGATTGGAAAATTGCCAGAACGCGTTTCGATCGTTTAAAAACGTCTTAAACGCAAAATTTAAATATATTTCGGTGTTCGGCCAATATGTATTACCACTGTGCATTCTTCACTGCTAATTTAGTAATCGAAACAATAGGACGGACGTCGATTGTAACGCTATGTAATAATATTATATTATTATTATTGTTGTACTTTATACCGCTGTCTGAACTGCTGTGCGTAAACGTTTTAAAATTTAAAATCGACGACGATAGAAATAATAATAATAATAATGATTTACAATTATTTACGATTTACGCCCGTCAGCAGATAATAATATATATATATTTTGCTGGTCAGTCGTCGGCGCCAGTGCAATGCGTTCGGTGAGCATCATATTATTATTGCGTTGGGTATATTAATAAGACGTATGATATCGAATGATTGGCCGCACGACGGGGCGGACTAAAAATAAAAACTAGCGGGCAGAAAGCGTTGCGGGAAGAAAAAAAAATTAGTTCGTACCTCGCGTTCGACGAAAAGAGATGATTTAATGCGTGAATAATAATTATAATTATAATTATTATAAAATGCAGAAAAACAAAAAACGAAACAAAAACGATTACAACAATAATATCGCGTACGGTCGCCGCGACGTCGAAGCGTCTAGGCAACACAACGGACGTCGGCCGCGGAGTCGACGCCAGATGGCGCCGTCCGTTTTAAAGTCTCGGCGTCGCGAGGTTATCATCAACAGCTGTGGAACGCGGGGGCAAAAACCAAAAAAAAACCAAAACGGATTGATGCCGCTTCGCTTATCAGCAATAATATAATAATAATACGTTATCGTAATACGATAGCCGATAGGACGTGCCCGCGTGCCGCCGACGAGTTGAATATGTGCACCGTAATCGACCGCAATAGTGTTATTTATTGCTATTATTATTGTTGCTCCGTTGTCGAACTCGATCGCAGCGGCGACGACGACCATCGCTACATACGGCCGCCGACTGCGATAGTCGCGCACCACTTGCACCAGCCCGTCGTCACGCCGTCCGGACAGAGTCGTCCGTGTCCATCGGTGTCGCGGATCGTCGGTGGTACTGCGGTAGTCGACGGCTTTCTTACCCGGTAAGTGTCCGTCCGTCCATCCGGAAACCGTACTCTTGTTATATACCGCAGTCGTGTGCACAGACTGCACAGGATTTGCATTGACGTCGCGCTGCATAAATGTGTACACCGCCGTCGTCCGGGAGACACGCACCGACCACGCCATCGCTATGGGACAGACGGAGAGTCACAGATCAGGTGAGAGCTACCGCGTGTCGTGTCATCGATAACACTTCGTCGTTACGGCGATATCATTATATTGTGTTGTTCCAAGTTATCACCCCGCTTTGGGTCATTCGAATCTCTCGAGCCACGACGTTAAGGCAACGCGATTTTTGTCAGACGGGGTCGTCCGGACGGGTAGCGCACCAAAACGGTATACGCGGACCCAGGATTTTGTTTTTGGGAGGGGGGAGGTAAACTCGAATTTTTCGCGAATCGTGATTATAAATTTTACGTCACAGTTATATTCTTACACATCTTATGGGCCAAGGGGGGGCCAGAGGGATCTGATCGAAATCCACGTACTCTTGTACAATATCGTTATTACCGTCACACGACCCCGACGACAGAGGTCTGTGTGGTTCTGATTCTCTCGTCACATGTATATACTTATATCTATAGACGACGTTAACGATACGACGAACGTGTGCCGCCGAATAACCGTCGTCGTCACGAAATTACGTGTCTGAACTGTTATTATTATAATGATCGACGGGCGTATTGTATTATTATTATGATTTTTGATGTGTTGTTATTCTATTGCACTGTTCGGTTTGCGCGCGTGTCGACGAAACGAAAGCGAGGAACCACCTAACCCACGATGTTGTCTGCGGGCCCCCGCACGGTTTAAAGTTCTTTGCCGAGATGGCTGCTATACACGTGTTCTCGCGCTTTATAATTGGTAGATTGATATAGCGAAAATATTATAGCGATAATGTCAAAAATTAGTAATCGTTACGATTTTTATCATGTGGGTCGTGGGGTTTTATTTTTGGGGGGGGGGGGGGAGCAGGACTCCAAAAAAATGTTTGTGTATGTGTGGCACGTGTGTGTGTGAGAGAGCGCTCTCTGTCCGTCTCCGCTTCCCGTTGAGTTTCCCGTTCTAATTATGGAACTGCGCGCGATCTCATCTCGAATTTACGAGGAAAAAAAATAATGAGTTTAATAACATAATAAACGAGTTTTCGCAAGTTTCCCGTTGGACCAAAATACTAAAATATTATTATCAATGGACCAATAGAGGTCTCGTGAATAATTACTTCATGATTTTTACGATCTATTAATTAATTTTATTGGTATCGATAATCTATTATGTATGATATAGACTAATAGACTTTAGAGATCATGGTTTTGTTCATGTGTATTTTGAGGTACATAATCAATTTCATCAGTTCAAAGTTCATGTAGGAAAGGGTGAGAGTTTCGTAATAAATGTACCGACGCTTAACGCTCGATTCTACTGCCGTTTGGTGAGGTATTTATTAAAGAATTTGTTTTCCCTTTCACGTTTTTTTTCACAAAATTTTTTTATAATCACATTAGCCTGCGAACATTCATTAAATAAGCGTAATATTTAAGGTTTATATACATTCTGAAAACAACTAGTTCCTGTGAAATATTTTAATAACGAAACGCTCTGATTACAGTTTACATGACGTGCAATGTAATGTTGATAAAAATGTTTTTAATGCTGAATTATTTTACATCCGGACGTTCCTAAAATAAAGTTCGCAATCGCTGACAGTAACATTTTATGTGTTCATATAATATTATTATAATTTATCGTAATATATTATCTATAAGTTTAGTGTTGTATATAATTTATGAATCGTTCTGTAGATTGTCCTATTATCCATTTATCCAATACCCATTTTCAATTATATTATAATGTAATATTTTAACTATGATTAGTTTATATTTGGATTTCATATATGATATTGATGTTATTTTATTGTTTTATAATAATGAATATTGAATTTTGTGTTACAACTTACAAAAGTAAGGTTTTAAAGATTTATATATAAAAAAAAAAAAATACTTATTATTTTAAATAAGTACATTCAAATATTAAGTAAGATCAGTATTCAGTATCAATAATTAGTATTTCTTTTAATATCAAAAAGGTAATGAATCAGGTATTCGTATAATATATTCAAAATAAGAAAGATGTATTTTACTCAGGTTTGGATTAAAAACTATGAGTTACCGACTACGAGCTACGGTTTCTGTTGAATTAAAAAAATTTAGTTACCTAGCTCTTTATAAAAATATTTTTTATTATTAAATTTATGCTTACACATTTATCGTACACAATTTTTCAATATACTTGAAAATAGTAAAATAATATTTTAAATTATCAAAAATATACGTATAAAAGGTAAAACAATGAAAATAAAAAAAATACATAAGATTTATTTTATTTTAAAATATTTATTATAAATGTACAATGGTCCTCGCTGTCCACAGCCTTCTCCATACTATGGTCCAATTCATTTAAGCAATTTCGATTAAACGGCATTACAAGTACATGGTTTTAGGTATGGATAAAATCTTATTTATTGATAT